GTCACCTCTGACACGCGTGTCATAGGTTCGCCATCACTGCCCTAGACCAGCATCTGCGGCCTTCCCGGCCACCCCTTAGCTGGCCCCTCGTATCTACCTTCTCCCTCATCCAGCTTCCCCATTGGCTCCCCCAGCAGCAATGCTTGGCCTCTTTGGTCCTCATCTCCTAGGAGTGCTCACTCTGACCTCTGACCCTTCCCTAACGGTCCTCACAATGCCGTTCTCGCCTGATCTCTGACTACAGTCTCAGAGGCCCCACCGGTTTCCCTCCCTCTCTCTACATCAGCATCATCAGTGGTTGCAGGTAAATACTGAACAGCCAGCCCCCTGGGGGAGAAATCTCCGGTTTGTAGCACTTTCCAGTTTCTGTGGTGGCTGGTCAGTGCTGGGGCTGGACACAGAGTTGGGAAGAGCTGTTCGGAGCCGGTCCTTGTGCACCAGGGGTGGTGGTGGGGGACACACACAGGTGCTCATCTGGTGCGTGATCGTGGTGGTAGCACCTGGAGCGGGTCTCCCCCTCCTGCTGCTCCCCTCCTCCAACTTCCTTCACGTATGGCTGCCGGAGTCACGCCCTGAAACCGCCCCCACCTAGTCCTCGTCTGCAACTGTCAGCACGGGAACCTCCTTCAGGAAGCAGCCTACGTGCCCAGCGGTAGGCAGATGGATAGAAAGGATGCGGGTCATAGACACGGTGGGATCACTCAGCAGCGCCCCACAGTCTCAGAATGATTTCAAACGCTGGAGCTCGGCACTCGTCTTCCTGCAGCCTGGGTCCCAGGTCTCTGCCCAGCGCCACCCGCTGTACCGTCTTGCCTCCCGCTCTCCCCTGTGACCCACCCCGCTTCCCCCCGGATTCTGCCCTGACCTCCCAGGCAGCTGGGTCATTGCTCCGGTCCTTCTTCCCCCTGGAAACCTTGTCTAACCCCTGCCCGTCATCCTTGGCGACGCCTTCTTTGCAAAGTCTCAGTCCCCTTCCCAACCAGATCTGCTTCCTCCCGTCGCTCCTGCAGCCTTTACAGGAAGCTGAGCGCCAGCTGGTGGGACTTGATCATCTCTGTCTGTCTCCCCTGCTGGGCTGCTCCGTCCGAAGGTCAGGGGTCTCTTGTTTGGTTCGCTCTCTCTTCCCACCCCAGTCCCTCCCTGTGTCATGCACTGAGTCGGGATCCTCGCAGATACCAATCCAGTTTATGATTGTTTTTGAAAAGATCTTGGACAGAGTCGTTTTGATTCTAAGATTAATTTCCACCTCACTAGGCAGCAAAGCTAAGGAGGCTGATTGCAGTGTCATGTGATAGTAAATGCGGGAACCAGACGCGAGAGTCGTTTTGATTCTAAGATTAATTTCCACCTCACTGGGCAGCAAAGCTAAGGAGGCTGATTGCAGTGTCAATGTGATAGCAATTGCGGGAACCAGACGCTGATTGGAGATGGGGCCAATGTAAGCCACTCACAACCGGATTGGGCTCATGTATGTTTTTAAAAAACACGTGGAAGTTTCATAAACGCAGCTTCTGATGGGTGGGAGGACTCGTTAGGTCTGCGTGGACTCTCGCGTGTCCGGAGGGAGAGAGGGAGAGAGGACAGGAGAGCCCTTGGCCAGGAGCAGGGGGCTGGGGAACAGGGCTGGCGGGTTTTAAGGCACCCGATCGTGCGTTTCAATTGTTCATTTTCGTGAATCTGAGATGGAAACTCCCTCCTGCGTCCATCGCTCGGGAAAATTTGCTCCATGCGCGAAATCCTCGTCTCAACAGTCTTGTCCCGACACTGAGAAATGGCTGAGCTCGTGGCTGGGCCGGTAGCAGGTGACAAACGACACCCCAAACAAGGCAAAGGCAGCCACTGGGAGCTCCGCACAGAGACGCCCACAGAGCATGGGGTGTGCGACGGCATGACTGCTTGTCTCATGGCCACTCTTGGGCAAGGCGTCTCAGCTGACATCCCCGAGCGGCCCTGCCAGCCCAAGCGCTGAAGTCACTTCTGGGGCACAGGTCCCCGCCTGGCCATCTGGCCCCACTTCCCTCCCTGGGAGAAGGGGGTCTGGGTTTCCGCCTGCAGACACTTAGCACCGCCTCTACCCAGCGCCCTGCCTTCGCCTCGGGGCTGTCGGGGGCTTATGCAACCGAGCAGATAAGACAACGTCTTAGCAGAAGTTGGGTTGTTCTGACCTCATCCACCTTCCCCTCCTGTATTTCACAGAGGTAGCCCCCCGTGGCCAGTGGCAGTCTGTAGGTGAGAACTCGGGGGGCGGCTTTTCTTTCATCCTTGCCTAACGGCACCCCCTTTCCAAGGTAACTCGCAGTCCCGTCCCCAAGCCACGGGTCAGCCATGGTGGGTCTCGGCCTTCGTCTGGGGGAGAAGTGTTTGTGTGGGAGGGCGAGTATGAGGGAGACTGCGTGGTCTGTGTGTGACTGTGCAGGCGTGTGAGCGCAGGTGTTCCTCGGTGTCCCCTGAGCACGCCTCCATCATGCTTACCGTGTCCTGCCACAGCTATTGTTCGCCTGTGTGCCTCACCCACTGAGTCCTCTGGGGTCCCCTCTTTAACGACCAGTCCTATGTCTTTTGCCTTCGCGTCCTCAGGGTCTGATGCCTGCCTGGCATGAAGCAGGACCCTGGTGTGCTTTAGCTCAATGAATGAACAAAGCCACCTCTCGTTTTCCCAGACTTGACGCCCCCCCTCCCCCTCCCGTGGTACCCGGGACAGCTGCTCTCTGCACCCCGTCCTGCCCCTGCAGTTCTAAGTTCCCGAGGCCCCAGCTGCACTCACCTAGGAGGCTGAGAAGGAGTAGAGCTGGGGGCAGCCACATGGTCCTGCTCCCCGGCTCCGCGGCCCTGCGACCTCCACCGGCGAGCGCGCGATGCCAGCTGGACCCGGAGCTCTGCCTGGGCCCCTCTTGCACCTTCTGCCTGTCCAGACCGCCTTTGAGTTTCTCTGATGCGTTCACTTCCTTTTATAGAGCATTTCCTGCTTTTCGTTATTCAGCAAAAGGAGTGTCGCTTCTTAGTAAGTCTGTCTCAAAGGACACTAGAGTCCCCACTAGGTAGGAAAGAGGAAGCCAGGCGCTGTGCAGGGTGAGCAGGGCGCGGGGAGGTATGTCTGCAGGAGGGTCAAGGAGGGGGCATCTGGCCCATCGGGCCCCGGGTTCCAGGGGCACATGCCAACTCCAGAAATGGCTCTTCCCAGCAGCAGGGCTCCCCCCTCCCCCCACGTCAGGAGTGAGGTGAGCATGCGGGCATCCCAAAGATGCACTTGTTCAGGGGGTACAGCCAGGTGCGTAAGCGCGGGCGGGGTGGGAGCAATGGGGAGATGCTGGTCAAAGGGCACCGACTTCCAGTTATAAGCTAAGCTCCGGGGATCTGACGTGCAGCCGGGGGAAGGGAGCGACTAACACTATGTTATAGACTTGAGAGTTGCTAAGAGAACAGAGCTTCAATGTTTTCATCACGAAAAAAATAACAAATAAATAAATAAATGGCAATTCTGTGATGTGATGGAGATGTTAGCTCACCCTATAGTGCTCATCATTTTGCATTTACAATCAATAAGTGTTTTAAATAAAAATACTGTACACTTAAAATTACACAGTGCTTTGGGTCAGTTATATCTAAGTAAAGCTGGAAAAAATAAAGTAACCTAGGGGACTGTTAAAAATATATGTAGAGCCCTAGCCGGTTTGGCTCAGTGGATAGAGCGTCAGCCTGAGGACTGAGGGGTCCCAGGTTTGATTCTGGTCAAGGGCATATGCCTGGGTTTCAGACCCAATCTCCAGTAGGGGGTGTGCATGAGGCAGCCAATCAATGATTCTCTCCCATCATTGATGTTTCTATCTCTCTCTCACTCTCCCTTCCTCTCTAAAATCAATAAAAATATAT